TAAGTGTTACCTCAGGCAACGTATAAATGATTGTATGTTGCCTCAAACTATCTTAAGCAATGTCTCAGTCTAGGTTGCCTTAGTAGAATGTTGATCACCCAAATTTTTTTAAAAAATGGTCAAAGTTAACTTTGATTCTTATGCAACATTGAGAAAGCAACACTTCTTAAGCAACATGGCCTCGTTGCCTAAGCCTTAAGCAACATATAAACACCTCTTAAGCAATATTTTTCGTTTGTTGCCTTAGTGGCATTTAGAGGTAGTGTGAATTCCAAATATTAAAAAAAATCATAGTTTGTTGAACTTATTTTCGATGGACTTTCGACTGTTATGTTAGGTATCAATTAACCATAAAAAGGAATAAAAAATTTTGGATTGATTTCCAAGGAAAACGTTGAAGGTGGGTCTCCGTTGAAAAGTGATCGAGATTCCATCTGTTTTTTTTAATAAAGGATTTTCCCTCTAAAAATTATCAAAATTTTGTCATAATTTTTTTATGGGAATTTCTGTTGAATTTTTCTGTTGTTAACAACCAATATTCTAGTAGTGATTGTTTCCGGCAAATTAGTTTATTTATCAATCCATTAATTGAATCCAACATCATTTTGTGGGGAGAAAATCAGACTAATTAACATAAATTTCATTCTCGACTTACTAACCTTGTTTCCATTTCGTCATCATATGATCATATATTTCATTATATATATATATATATATATATATGAGCGATCAAATGAAAACCACATTCATTTGTACAAACCGTACAAACCGTACAAACCACCCTCATACGTCGATTTCATTGCTAATCTTATGAAATTTTTTCATGAAATTGTTTAATCTTGTGAAATTGTTTCATATAATATTTTTTTTTGATGAATTTGTTTCATATATGGTTATGAAATTGTTTCATATAATATTTAATAAAATTTTAATAAAACCGTTTCATGAATTTCATGAAATTTTTATTTGAACGTTCCTATATATATATATATATATATATATATATATGATTCTATCTATCACAAAAAGTAATTGAACATGTGATTGGAAGATGAGTACGTTTAACTTTAAAACGTCAAGATCATCACTGATGGACGAATAGATCCATCCGTAGGCCGGCGGAAACACAAGCTTACTGTTGAAAACATTGTTTTTGAGTTTGGTCATTTTCCCTGTTTGCCTTTTATGGGCGTGAAGGATTCCTTCACAGCCAAGAACGGTGCCCGTAGGCCGATTTTTTGTGGACCTTTTGATCTTTTTCCCATAATATTTATATGGTTTTAGGAGTTTTTTTTAATTTTTCAGATGGTTTTTAGACATCAGATCGATTTGGCATTGGATCTCGATTTTCAAATGGTTCTCAWWCGAATTTGGGTATCATCTTCCGTATTCCTTTTTATGTATGCAATTATTTCGTTGTTCTTAGTTAGCTTTGTCATTTGCATTTTATGCACGAAATATTCATATTAGTTTATAATTGCATTTTGCATTTTGCATTTTGTTTAAGCTTTTCCATTTGGTTTTTATTTATTGTTAGTTAATTTTCGTTTAATATGCGTTGGAGATATTATTACTTTAGTATCCCTTTTTGGTTTTATTTAGATTTTGACCAGGTTTTAATACTAAAACAACAATCATGAATGTGGATTTAGGTTTCAAAAATTTATTATAAAAACAAAGTGGATTTAAGTACTTGGAGTTGGGTCGGATTAAATGAAGATGATGGAGTAGGAGTCCAAACCAACGTTGTGGTATTGATCAATTGTTTTAATATAAACTTTGAGTTGTGGTAATCGTCCATTTGGATTGACGTTGTGATATTGATCAATTGTTTCTATATCAAACTGAGTTTTAATTGGTTGATTTTTACCTGATATAAATTGGCGTTTAGTTCATTGATTTTTATAAAATGTTTAGTTAATCTGTTAAATTTTGATAAGAACGATAGTTTGATCTTAATTTGAAATTATATTGATCAATGACTATGATTCTGACATAAAAATAGTTAGGAATGTAAAGCGGTGAAAATATTTGTTTTACTCGTAATGTTTCTTTCCAACGTATGCATTCTATGAAAGTAACTATGAATCTTGGTTTAGAAAAGTTTTTCCACCTCGAAAGAGGGTTAAAGTATTTTACACAACAAATACTCACCATCACTTAAATCCAAGACTGACATCATCCAATTTTCATTAGATTTTATTTTTATTGTCTTGTCATTCTTTTTAATCATTTCAATAAAATCATTCTACACTGATTGATGCTTCCCGTAGCTAGGTCATAGTCCAGAACGAATCCATATTTACTCCATCGTCTTYTCTTAATTGACCCAGATGCTACACATCCGTACGCTTACGGTTATAATTTTAAAACTCATCGCATCAATCTTATTTGTTATTATTAGTTTTTCTTGATTTCTTTTATTGTTCATCGTATTTTCTGGATTTTATTTCTTATTTCCTGCACTTTGTTGGTTTCATTTCTACATCTTCTTTGGTTTATGCTCTCTTTATAAATTGCATCATTTTGTTTACTACGTACATGCTTAATTTTGCATCTTTATAATTTTATGCGCTATATAATTTTTTATATCTAATTTATATAATTGTTGGTGAAGAATCGATGAAAAAGATGATGCTTGTTCACGAAGAAAACTCTTTAGAACATGAAAAATTATCTTCCACTACTTCATGGCCGTGAATGATTTCTTGATGGTCGTAAAGCAATATTGTTCCTGAGTTTGGTCATTTTCCCCGTTTGCCTTTTACGGTTGTGAATGATTCCTCCACAACCGTGAATAGCGTTTGGTAGCCCAATTTTTTTAAGTACATTTTGGTCTTTGTGCTATGATATTTATGTGTTTTTAGTGTTTTGTTTTTATTCAGATGTTTTTTAGATATTAGAATGAAAATTAAATACTCTAAAGTTCTAGTTTCGCTTAAGCATTTTTGAGCTTGTGGAGGAAGAACTCTTGTGCTACAAGCTTATGCCATTAGATCTCGATTTGCAATTGGTTTTCATATGACTCTGAGTATCATCCTTCATATTTCTTTTTTTTATGTAGGTTATATCGTCGTTCTTAGTTAGCTAATTTGTTCTTGATTTCTTTTATTGTTCATCCTATTTTCTCGGCTTGGTTCTTATTTCGTGCACTATGTTGTTTTCATTTTCTGCATCTTCTTTCGTTTATGCTCTCTATATCATTCTACATCATTTCAATTACTGCCCTCTTAATTTTTGCATCTTTATACATTTTTGCACTTTATAATTTTCTGAATTTAGTTTAAATTTTTCTACATGTGTTCAAAGTTAATTGTTAATATTTGGTGAATTTAATGAAATCATCAGTTCATTTTATATAATTAGATTCACCAGAGAATATATGGGGTTGGTAGTTACGTTATATCACGGGATAGGTGTGGGATGTACACTCGTGTAAGCTAACTAGAACCCGAGATTGCTAGATGGTGCCATATGGTGGTGTAAAAGGGGCGCACCCCTTTGTGAGGTCCATGCGGCAACGCCCTTAATTTTATAAATGAAATGCTTGGGAAAATTGAGGTTCTTAATGTTGTTCAGAAGCTTCTGATTCTGAAATAGTTTTGACTCAGAGGCTTTAAGAGGAGCCAGAGCTTCCGACTCTGAGGAGTCAGAGCTTTTGATTATGAAGAACTAAGCTCTTGAACCGGAAGGGCTTTCGACTCTGAAGAGTTAGAAGATTTGATGCCTTCTGATCTAAGTAGGTCGTTTTTAACTCGTTAACTGCCCACTAATACTCTAGTAATTTCCATTTAATGGGCTAATATTTTTTACTTTGATTTAGGAATTGTTACGATTCTCTAAGTTTAAAATGAAACAAATGCGAGGATTGAAATTGAGGTTTGAGGTTATCCTCGAGTGAATTTCGTGAAACCAAGGAAAATTGTTTCCAAATACAACTTAAGGAAATCGAGCTCTTACACATGATTTTATTCATGTTTTTTCCGTACTTTATATCTATTATTTCTAAGAATTTTACAAGATTCCTCAAACATATGTTCATAGTTATTAGTTAATTTCTCATTTATGCTTTCTATTGAATTTTGTTTTAATGTAGTGATTAATTTGCTTGTTTATCCCACTTTTAATGTTCAGTGAAGTTAGATTTAAAAACAATTCGTTGTTTGGTGTTTAGTTCGACATTCTTTTGATTGGATAATTGTCGCTTTGGGTCGATGTTTTGGTATTGACCAATTGTTAACATTGAGATTCAATTGATTGATTTTTCCTTAGCTCAAGTTAGTGTTTGGTTAATTGATTTCAGTTAAGTGTTCACTTAACATGAAAAATTAGAGATAGAGATCGGCAAAAATATTTGTTTTAACGTTAATGTGTTTAACTTTTGCATATTGTGGTAGTAAATGTGTATTTTGGTTCAAGAAAACTTGTCCACTTCGGAAGAGGCAGATTGAACTAGTTTTGCTTAAGAAATCCTCACCATTATTGAAAATCAGAATTGACATCACCCAAGGCCCATTAATATGTAGTTTGTCTCGCTTTGTTTGGTTCCTTCGTTGTTTCATTCATTTCTTGTTTTCTTTATTTGTTTCTTTCTAATTACTTTAATCATCTATCCATCAATTGGATTCAGGCCAACAAATCTTTGTTTAGTCCATTGCCTCGACCCTGAGATCGACCTGTATGTTACACAACCCATACAAATGCARCATGAATACAAAACATACATCAATTTTCTGGCGACTTAGCCAGGTTGGAAATTAGGCAAATATGGATTTTGTTCCAGGCTTGTCTTCATCTTTCTCTCATTTCAATTGTTATTTTCATTTTCGTCATCACATCGTTTACAGCGTTTTATAATTATGATTCTACTACCATAGGTAATTAAACACATGATTGTAACGACAAAAAGTGTAACAATTCTAAGACACCGACAGACTAATCCCAAGTAGGCTGTTGGAAACAATACTTAGCGAAGGAAACTTTGGTTGAAGAATAGCAACTAAAATATGTATGCACTTTGGTATATTTATTTATAATCATAATTTGAATCGAGGACAAAGAATAAAGAATATTTAAGATCAGAAATCAATCAAAAGATGAAAATGAAATATGCAAACCAAGATCTAGCTTACGGTTAAAGGAATCTAGAGTTCTTGCATTCAGCAGGTAGACCATTGGGAAACCGTTTGCGGTCGTTGCAGTAGTTGTAGATCATGTGCTTGTTCTGCACCCATCTAATCCTGTTCCTGCCAGCTGCATCAAGCCCTTGAGTACTCCATGCCTGGTTGCCAGATTCGGAGCTTGTTGACTTTGAATTAGGACCAACTCTTTTGGCATTGGCATTGAATTTCCTGTAGGAAGCAGTAAAGGGTGCTTTAGTCCAGTCTGCCTTCACACGCCCACCTTGGGTTGCCCAGTCATCTGCGTTCCACAGGCTGGCATACACCCTCATGGGTTGGCTCTTGGGAA